GATTACAGGTGTGAGCCACCCATCACTCCTGGCCAATTTTTGTGTTTTTCGTACAGAAGGGGTTTCACCATGTTGGTCAGGCTGGTCTCAAAATCCTCACCTCATGAACCACCCACCTTGGCCTCCCAAAGTGCTGGGATTACAGGCATGAGTCACCACACCCGGCTTTTATTTTTCTTTTGAGACAGAGTCCCACACTGTTGTCCAGTGCTATCTCAGCTCACTGCAACCTCCGCCTCCTGGGTTCAAGCAATTCTCCTGTCTGTTTCCCATGTAGCTGTGATTATAGGAGCCAACCACCATGTCCAGCTAATTTTTGTATTTTTAGTAGACACGGGGTTTCGCCATGTTGACCAAGCTGGTCTCCAACTCCTGACCTCAAGTGATCCACCCACCTTGGCCTCCCAAAGTGCTGGGATTACAGGCATGAGCTACCACACACCTGGCCTTTCTATGCTACTCTGGTCAGAGTCATGATGGGTCTGAGAGGCCTATTCAAGTGTGGCAAAGAAAAGCTTGTGCTTGGCCAGGGGCGGTGGCTTGTGCCTATAATCCTAGTACTTTGGGAGGTTGAGGCTGGAGCCTTGCTTGAGGCCAGGAGTTCAAGACCAGCCTGGGCAACATAGTGAGATCCCCATCTCTATAATTTTTTTTTTTTTTTAAAGATTAGCTAGGCATGGTGGTGCATGCCTTAAGTCCCAGCTGTCAGGAGGCTGAGGTGGAATGAGCTCAGGAGGTTGAGGCTGTGGTGAGTTAAGATCATGCCACTGCACTCCGGCCTGAGCGACACAGTAAGAGTTTGCCAAGAAAGAAAGAAAAGAAAGAAAAGAAAAGAAAAGAAAAGAAAAGAAAAGAAAAGAAAGAAGGAAGGAAGGAAGGAAGGAAGGAAGGAAGGAAGGAAGGAAGGAAGGAAGGAAGGAAAAGAAAAGAAAGAAAAGAAAAGAGGACAAATGCAGTGGCTTATGTCTGCAATCCCAGCACTTTGGGAGGCTGACACGTTTGAGCTCAATAGTTTGAGACTAGCCTGGGCAACATGACAAAACTATACAAAATATCTATAAAAAATGCAAAAATTAGCCAGGCGTGGTGGCTCATGCCTGTAGTCCCAGCTACTCAGGAGGCTGAAGTGGGAGGATTGCTTGAACCTGGGAGGCTGAGGTTGCAGTGGGCCAAGATTGCACCACTACACCCCAGCCTGAGTGATAGAGCCAGAACCTGTCTAAAAAAAATAACAGGAAAAAAAAGAAGAAGAAAAAGAAAGAAAAGAAAGAGAAGAAAGAGGCCTGTACTGAAATACTGAAAGGCTAAGGGAAGAGAACAGGGTTGGGGAAGAGCAGCTACAAAAGAGAGTAAGACAGACCAGGCACAGTGGCTGACGCCTGTAATCCCAGCATTTTGAGAAGTCGAGGCGGGTGGATCACCTGAGGTCAGGGGTTTGAGACCAGCCTGGCCAACATGGCGAAACCCTGTCTACTAATAATACAAAAAGTAGCTGGGCATGGTGGCGCACGTCTGTAATCCCAGTTACTTGGATTACTGAGGCTGAGGCAGGAGAATCAGTTGAACCCAGGAGGTTGCAGTGGGCTAAGATTGCGCTTGCACTCCAGCCTGGGTGACAAGAGCAAAACTCCATCTCAAAAAAAGAAAAAAAGAAAAGAAAAGGCAAGATGCCTACTACTAAATTATCTAAACAGGGGTTTCAGGACCCTTTCCTCCTATTAAAGCCCCAGCTCCCTTGGCTCCCAGCTTTCCACCCACTCCTGGTTTTCCTTCTGTCCTCTTTCTGCTATCTTCCAAGCTCTCAGCTTGCTTCAAAGCCATGCTGGGCTGTGCCACCTGGGTGTCTAGTGGCACTGCAATTTCCAGATGCTGAGAACAGATTGTTGATTTGCACCTAAACCTGCTCCCTCCCAGCAGCTGCTCCCTCCCCAGGCTCCTCCATACCTCTCCAAGATCCACCCAAGCCTCACCCATCCATACCTCTACCTGGTCCAGCCCTATCATTGCTCCCCTGGCCTGGGGCAGTCCCTTCCATCCTGGTCTCCAGGCTCCTGCCTTGGACCCCTGCAGTCTGTTCACTGGGATCAGAATAATACCAAATGCATGTTCAAGGCCAGCAGGCTGGCTCTGCCCTTCCTCCTCTCCCCTCTGAATCTTACCACCCTGGTTTTGTGGTTCTCTCATCTAAGCACTCTGGCAGTTTCTCTCCTCTGTAATTTGCCCACTGGCCTCTCTGCCTGGTTAACTCCTACTCACCCTCAGTGACCCAGCCAACTGTCACCTCCTCCAGGAGGCCTTCCCTGACTCCTTCTAAGGTTGAGTCAGGTGACTCCTCTGGACTGCCCCCAGGCATGGCTCTGTGATTTTCTTGTGTGTGTGTGTGTGTGAGAGACAGTCTGTCATCCAGGCTGGAGTGCAGTGGTGCCATCTCAGCTCACTGCAACTCCTGCCTCCCATGTTCAAGAGATTCTCCTGCCTCAGCCTCCCATGTAGCTGAGATTACAGGTACATGCTACCACACCCAGCTAATTTTTGTATTTCTAGTAGAAACAGGGTTTCACCGTGTTGGTCATGCTGCTCTCAAACTCCTGACCTCAGGTGATGTGCCCGCTTAAACCTTCCAAAGTGCTGGGAACAGGCATGAGGCTGGCCCCTCTGTGATATTTTCATAGCCTCCAGCTCTGATATTCTCATGATATTTTAATAGCCTGTTTAGCAAGTACTCATCACCAGCCACGGATTCTTCATTCATCACCAGCCTGGATTCACCTACCAGTCTGTAGGTCATGACTGCTATTATCCCATTTTATAGATGGAGAAACTGGGGCAGGAAGTGGTGAAGTCTGTGGCCCAGAGGCCCTCAATTCAAACCGGCAGGACAGGGCAGGGGGCAGGCTCAAGCCCAGCCAGTAGGAAAGGGAGCAGCTTGTGGTACTCAGAGAAGGGGGCAGGGCAGGGAGCTCCCCAGGCGCCTGCCTTTCTGTGCCATCCCAAGGGTGGGAGGAGGGGACTTGGGTCCACTCATGCTGCCAACTACAGTCATCCCAGCAGCTCCTGAGCCAAGACATTCTGTGCCAGGCACCGGGCCAACCACTTTATTCAACCTGCAGACGTCCCTGGGTCAGGAGGTGGGCACTGTTCTGATTTTTTCACTCTTGTTGCCCAAGCTGGAGTGCAATGGCGCCATCTTGGCTCACCGAAACCTCTGCCTCCTGGGTTCAAGAGATTCTCCTGCCTCAGCCTCCCGAGTAGCTGGGATGACAGGTGTGTGCCACCATGCCCAGCTACTTTCGTATTTTTAGTAGAAACAGGGTTTCTCCATGTTGATCAGGCTGGTCTCGAACTCTCAACCTCAGGTGATCTGCCCACGTCAGCCTCCCAAAGTGCTGGGATTGCAGGCGTGAGCCACCACACCTGGCCTATTCTGAATTTATCAGAGAAGGAAATGGAAGTCCGTGCAGCCCTGAACTCCCACCTGGCATTAGAGCCCTCCCTGGTTCCTTAGGGGTGTGGCTGCCACTGAGATCTGCCTAGCCTCTGCTTTCATTGATCTACGAACACTCCTAGGCTCAGATACTAATGACTCATTTTACAGATGGGCAGACTGAAGGTCGGAAACCTCTCCTTGGGGCCCCACAACCAATTAAATGACCAAGGCTCCCCCAACCCCCCAGGCTCAAAGTATCTCTTCTAGCAGTGGGTGAGCTGGAAATACAGGTAAGGAAAGTCCTCACTGCCTTCTCCTCCATGCCTGGCTGGGCCTGCTGGGGCCCAGGTGCACTGAATGAAGCTTCTGGTTAGCACCCCCAGCTCCACTTGTGTTTATTCACAGCAGCTGCTCCTGGAAGGAAACCCCATTTGAGGCTGGGTAGGCCGAGGGCTTCAAAGACAATGCCACAGTCCAGGAAGCCTATCCCCATAGAACACATCCAAGTCGCCCCAGTGGGGTCACCCTGGCCTCAGCTCAGATGCCCCAGACCTCACCTGGGCTCAGACTGCAATCTGTGGAGCGTTCTCCCATCATAGGTTTGCAAATCACAACAGCCTCTCCCTGCCCGCTTCCCTGTTTCCCCCAAAGTCTCCCAACCCAGCAATGAAAGCCTCTTCTATATACTCCTAACTACCCAAGAGAAACATGTCCCCCACGCCCCACTTACAAGCAGACAGAGGAAGTAGACGATGCTCCTCTGTCAAAGCGGTATTTTCAGTTCCCCCAGTTCCTTCACACCTTCCAACCAGGTCAGGCCAGCAGACCCTTCCAAGTATCCCCATCTCTCCCACGGGATGTTCTTAAGACACAATCCGATCATGCCATGCACCTGCTGTTGTAAGCCTCCCTGGTCCCCACTGCCCGGAGGACGGGTTCCACGCTCTCCTCACCGCTTCCCAGGCCCCAGCCAACCTGACCCTCCCTCTTCGCGTTTCAGCCACGCTGGCCCCTTTTCTGCTCGGCACGCACTCCCGGTTGGGCCCTGCCCCGCAATCATGCATTTCCTGGGCCTAAAAAGCCCTCGTTGGCTGGTTCAACCAGGCCAAATGACCCCATCCCCACCTGGGCCCCTCCATCCCACACCGGCATCCTGAAGCTTTAGCCTGGGCTTGGAATGACGTGTTTAAGCGGTTCTCTGAAGCCGTCTATGCGGCCGGCTGCGGGCTCCGAGGCCAGAGTCCCAGCTGCGTCCCCAGCCCTGGCACGTCGGGGGCACGGGGCGCTCCTCCAGCTCACACATCCGGATTCCCCCGCGTGACGAGACCGGGATCGCCCCTACTCACTCCCACCCGTTTCGCAGGCGCGTCCTCGGGCACCCGCGGCGCCCCGGCCCTCATGGGGGAGCGCGGATCTCTCCGGGAGGCGGCCCAGAGGGGGAGCCCCGAGGGGACAGTCCCGGGACTGGGTGATGGGGGCCGGGCTGGGGCCGCCATGACCGCGGAGGCGGGGCCGGAGCCTGCCAGGAGTGTGGCGTTCCGAGCGGCGTTCGCGGCGCGGGGCGCTCGCTTACCTGGGGGCGCAGAAGGCCGGGCGCACCGGGGGCCGGCGGCGGGGATGAGTACGGCGCGCCTGGCGGGGGACCCGGAGCAGCTGCAGACACGCACCGCCCGAGCCACGCAGCCGGACTCGGCTCCCGGCCGGGTCTCCGCCCCCAGCCAGGGGAAAAAGGCTTGAGTGGGGGGAGCCCGGGGCGGGGGCGGGGGCTGGGCCGCCGGGCGGGGCCGCGGGGGCGGGGCGGGGCGGGGCGGGGAGCGCGCCCCGGAACGGTAGGGTAGGGCCCGGAGGGGCGGGGCCTGGCGCAGTGCTGGGGACTTGGAGGGGCAGGGCCTGGAGCGGGCGGGAGGTCCTCCAGGCGCTTGTTCCCCTCGGCGCAACCAGGCCTCTCCCCGGCCCCCAGCCTCGCGCCGCATCCCCATCCCCGCCCCCCTGTCCCCGCCTCTGCATTCCCGCCCCCGCCCCCGCCCCCGCCCCCTTTCCGCCCATCTCCGCCCTGCGGAGCGCCTGGCCCGGGTCCAGCCTCGCGTCTCTTGTCTGCGCCTTATCTCTCCCCTTTGAACTCAGCATTGTCCACTGCGCGCTCCGTCCGGCCTCGGCTTCACCCCTGTTCGCTGTCTCCCCGGCCCCCTCCCGGGTCCCCTCTTCTGCCCTGGATGCTCGGGCTCCGCTCATCCTTCCACATCCCACACTGCCGGGGTGTCCTGAGCCTCTGGGGCGCACTGTTGTGTGTGCACGGGGGAGGCCCAGACTTTTCCAGGCCTCAGCGGCCACCCTGGGCATCCCGAGTCTGGGGGCCCGTTGGAGGGCCAGGCCAGGCCAGTCCAGGGGTTCTCATGAGGCGCGCGCGGGGTCCAGCCGAGGCGGTGAGGGCATCCGGGCAAAGGCTGAGGTTTGGTGGGGTGCAGGGGTCAAGAGGCAGAGCTGGGGAGATAAGGCTGGGAGATAGGCGGGGTGGGTGGTGACGCAGACTTGGTTTTGGCTGAGGGCAACAGCAGTAGGGACAGGGTCCCCCACTTGCCTGGTAGAACCGAAAATGACCCGGTCTCAGCAGCGCGCAGGGGCAGGGAGCCTGGGGAGTCGGTGGATAGAGGACAGTCCCAGGAGGTTTCAGAGTCGCTGGCACACCGCGTATCCTCTGGACAAGTGGCTTCACCTTTGAACAATAAGCCTCTGTAAAATGGGGATAATAAACCTTTCTCTGACTCGGCTCAGCAGACCCAAGACCCACAAGACCCATTGGGGTGAAGTTGGGGCCTCCCTGGCCATGGGGCCCTAGGCAAGCTGAGATTTGATTTCCTCATAGAGAAAGGGGGCCGAGGGCAGGGGCAGGGGGAAGGGAGGAGGCAGGAGACCTCTGTTGCAAGTGTGGAAGAACCTGTCCCTCCAAGTGCAGACTCCTGGCCTTTGCACTTGGCCTTCCCTCTGCTACACTGTGTCTCTCTTTGTGTTTCTTTTTTCTTTTTTTTTTTTTTTTTTTTGAGACCAAGTCTTGCACTGTCACCCAGGCTGGAGTGCAATGCGGTGATCTCGGCTCACTGCAACCTCTGCCTCTGCAGTTGAAGGGATTCTCCTGCCTCATCTTCCCGAGTAGCTGGGATTACAGGCGCTGGCCACCATGCCTGGCTAATTTTTTTTTTTTTTTTTTTTTTTTGGTAGAGGTGGGGTTTCACTATATTAGCCAGACTGGTCTCAAACTCCTGGCCTCGTTACAGACCTGAGCCACCTCGCCCTACCTTCTCTTTTTTTAAAAATAAACCAAACAAAAAATCTCTGTTAGAGGCTGGGCGCAGTGGCAAACACCTGTAATCCCAGCACTTTGGGAGGCTGAGATGGGTAGATCACATGAGGTCAGGAGTTCAAGACCAGCCTGGCAAACATGGCAAAACCCCGTCTCTACTAAAAATACAAAAATTAGCTGGGCATGGAGGTGTGTACCTGTAGACCCAGCTACTGGGGAGCTGACAAAGGAGAATCGCTTGAACCCGGGAGGTGGAGGTTGCAGTGAGCCAAGGTCTCACCACTGCACTCCAGCCTGGGCAACAGAGCGAGACTCCGTCTCAATTAGCAAAAAAAATTGGCTGGTCACAGTGGCTCACACCTGTAATCTCAGCACTTTGGGAGACCAAGGTGGGCAGATCACGAGGTCCACAGTTTAAGATCAGCCTGACCAACACGGTGAAACCTCGTCTCTACTAAAAATACAAAAATTAGCCAGGCATGGTGGCACGTGCCTGTAGTCCCAGCTACTGGAGGGGCTGAGGCAGGAGAATTGCATGAACCTAGGAGGTGAAGGTTGAAGTGAGCCGAGATCATGCCACTGCACTCCAACCTGGGTGACAGAGTGAGACTTCATCTCAAAGAAGTTTTTGTTAGAGATGGGAGTCTCATTCTGTTGCCCAGGCTGGAATGCAACGTCACGATCCTAGCTCATTGCAGCCTTGGACCCCTGGGCTCAAGCAATCCTCTCACCTCAGCCTCAGAGTAGCTAGGACTATAGATGCTTGCCACCATGTCTGGCTAATTTTTTTTTTTTAATTAAAAAAATCTTTGATAGGCTGGGCATGATGGCTCATGCTTGTAACCCCAGCACTTTGGGAGGCTGAGGCAGGTGGATCACCTGAGGTCAGGAGATTGAGACCAGCCTGGCCAACATGGCAAAACCCCGCCTCTACTAAAAATACAAAAATTAGCTGGGCACAGCGGTGGGCACCTATAGTCCAGCTACTCAGGAGGCTGAGGCAGGAGAATTGCTTGAACCCAGGAGGTGGAGGTTGCAGTGAGCCAAGATCACACCACTGCACTCCAGCCTGGGTGACAGAGCAAGACTCTGTCTCAATAAAAATAAGAAAAGAAAAATAGGCTGGGCACAGTGGCTCACACCTGTAATCCCAGCACTTTGGGAGGCTGAGGTGGGCAGATTACCAGGTCAGGAGTTCAAGAGTAGCCTGACCAATATTATGAAACCTTGTCTCTACTAAAAATACAAAAATTAGCGAGACATGGTGGCACACACTTGTAATCACAGCTACTCAGGAGGCTGAGGCAGGAAAATCCCTTGAACCCAGGAGGTGGAGGTTGCAGTGAGCCGAGATCATGCCACTGCACTCCAGCCTGGTGACAGAGCTAGACTCTCTCTAAAAAAGAAAAAGAAAATCTTTGGTGGAGGTGGTGGGTTTGCTATGCTGCAAGGGCTGGCCTGGCTTAAGTGATCCTTCCGCCTCTGCTTTCTGGGGTGCTGGGATTACGGCGAAAGCCACTGTGCTCCAGCCTCTTTTTCAAAAGCCTGCCTCTTCTCCCTCAGCCCTCAGTCCCCTCCTTCCTCCTCCACTGCCTGCTCTGCCGTCCTCCCACAGTATTCACCTGTTTATTTTTCCCTCTCCTTCCCTCCAACGGCTTGTTTGCACACCTGATGAAGAAGGATAATAAAGCAATTTTTCTCAGTTGTTGTGACTAGGAAGCTCTCGAATATCACACCTGGCACCTTCAGGGGTGCTCAGCGTGTGGCATTTGTTTGAATTAATAATAATATACGATGGGGTTGGTGGCTCACATCTGTAATCCCAGCACTTTGGGAGGCTGAGAGGAGTGGATTGCTCAAGCTCAGGAGCTCGAGACCGGCCTGGGCAACATGGGGTGAGCCCGTCTCTACCAAGAATACAAAAGTTAGCCAGGCATGGTGGTGCACTCCTGTAGTCCCAGCTACTTGGAAGGCTGAAGTGGGAGGATCACTTGAGCCCAGAGGTCAAGGTTGCAGTGAACTATGATGGTGACACTGAACTCCAGCAGAGAGACCAGCCTAGGCAACATAGTGAGACCTCCATCTCTACAAATAATAATAATAATGATAATATAAGGCCAGGTGTGGTGGCTCACACCTGTAATCCCAGTACTTTGGGAGGCTGAGGCAAGTGGATCATGAGGTCAGGAGTTTGAGACTAGCCTGGCCAACATGGTGAAACCCCGTCTCTGCTAAAGATACCAAAAATTAACTGGGTGTGGTGGTGCAGGCCTGTAATCCTAGCTACTTGGGAGGCTGAGGCAGGAGAATCGCTTGAACCCCGGAGACAGAGGTTGCAATGAGCCAAGATCGCGCCATTGCACTCCAGCCTGGGAGACAGGTCGAGACTCTGTCTTAAGAAAAAAAAAAAAAAAAAAAAGATGATCTAATACAGGATTACATGGTGAGATGGTGGAGTCTAAGCCCCGGGGGAGAATCTCCAGGACCCTGGAGAAGTGGAGTAGGGGAGCTCAAAAGAGGACCTGGGTGGGCCAGAGCTGGGGAGAGATTTCAGGTGGAAGATACCACATGGGCCAAAGGCTGGGAAGCTAGAGGAAGACACCCGGGGTCGGCCAGGCAGGAAGGGACCCAGGCTGCACCCTCTGCAGTTGGGCAGTGTCTCGCCTGCCTCCACCTTCCACCCCGATCCCTAAGCTCAGGAGCTCAGGCCAGACCCCAAGCTCAAGCTCTCTCAAGAGTGGGTTACTGTTCAGGGCAGGCTTCCCAGAAGAGGTGACATCTGAGCCCTGAGAGATAAGCAGAGGGGGAACTATACTGAGAGTGTTTCCCGGGAGGACAGCAGGGCTGGCCCAGCCACAGAAAGCCCTCCTGGGTTCTCTCAAGGGAGAGGCACCAATGGACTCATTTATTTATTTCGAGATAAAGTCTCACTCTGCCCTCCAGGCTAGAGCAGTGGTGTGATCTCAGCTCACTGCAATCTCTGCCTCCAGGGTTCAAGTGATTCTCAGCCTCCTGAGTACCTAGGATTACAGGCAAACACCACCATGCCTGGCTAATTTTTGTATTTTTATTAGAGACAGGGTTTCATCATATTGGCCAGGCTGGCCTTGAACTCCTGACCTCAAGTGATCCCTCGAGGGATTATGGGCATGACCATAATCTGTGCCCAGTCAAGAATTGGACTTAAAATTAGGAGAGAACAGAGTGGGAGGCTAGGCAAGGTGTCTCTCCACTGTGGGCAGCTGGTGGGAGCACTTGGGGCCTGGTTCGGGGGTGATGGACAGGAGGAGAGGGAGGGATTCCAGGGGGGATTTAGAGGTCAAATTACCAGGGCTCAGGAGATAAGGGGAGGCCAGAGCCTGGTTGGCTGGTGGCAGAGGCCTCCTCTCCAGCCTCTGCTTGCCTCCCTCCAAGGGTCCTCCCTGCTCCATGCCTAAAAATACTCATCTGCCCAGGGTAGGTACTTGGCACCTGATCCCCTTCACCTGCCACCTGGCCCTGCCCAGCTCCCCAGGGCACTTGGCAACCCAGCATGGGTCCAGCAGGCTAACCGGTTCTCACTGATGATGCCTCCTGCCAAGCCAGGTCCTGCACCACCTCAGGTTCCCAGTGGCTGAGCCCTCCAAGCCTGGGTGAGGAAAGGGCAGTGGCAAAACTTGTCCTG